CGCAACTGAAAATTTCCAAGCTGTTCAACTTGTTGTTCATAAAGCCTCTTTCTCTTCAAACATTGTATAGCAGCTGTTAACAAAGTTTTGGTAGATAATTCATCATAAAAGTGGCAACACAAAGAGAAAAACATCTCCCATGCAAATGATAATGCAATAATACATACCCTGCATTTGGACAACCTATGTTTTGTCATTTCACATTTGCTTTGTGCTCTTTCCATAACTAGTTGTTTCCATTTTGTTTAATTTTGTGCATATAAACTTAAGCATACATGTTCTCTTCACGTTAAAAATCTTTAGCTGTGATTTAAATCAATTTATTTTAGAATCACCCATAACTGTTCTATTAGTTATATTCTTCAAGGCCAAGTAATTAGTGTAACCTGTGTGCTACTGTGAAGACGCAAGTATTAATTATTAACGAAACAAACATAAAATGGACCATATAAGAGGAGGGATAATCATATGAAGTAAAGCAACATCCACCCAACATATGAATTCTGCATCATCAACAATTACAGGAACCTATCTTAACGTTGAAGTTCCTCACCGAAGGGTTAAAAAATTATATTTTCCGAGGATATCACTTTCTAAAAAGGATGGCATATTCTAAAACCTCAAACAGCTGGCCTGAAGATCAGATCACTTATACTCCAGCCCCATAAATAGGACAAAGGCATGATTCTCCAACTTAGAGCCCGTTTGTTTCCGATTAAAATCCAATTAAAATTGAAAATATGGTCGTTATTGGGTCCCACTCGTCTAATAAATGTCAACAATAACGGCTAGTTTTTCAATTATAATCCGATTTTAATATCTACCGAACACGCCCTTAGTTTACTTTTTCGCCAAACATCTTCGACCAGAACCTGATCTAGTCATACATATAACCTGATAACAAAACAAATGAATAGGCATTATGAACCTGACATCCTGTTGCAAGGCAGTTTGGCTCAAACCCTTCACAGCTTGCACTTATACTTCTTCTGGTGTTTATGTTTTGACATAATGAACAATTATAGCCTTAAAACCAAGTTGAAGATGAATGACAAACTAGCATTTCCGATAAAAAAATTTAGAAATTACACAACATGAATTGAGAAAAACAGATATTCCAGTCATGACAGCATCAATTTCAACAACCAAGATTTACCTAGCCCTCAGGTGCTTTTCTGCAGATTAGAGAAGAAAGTATCAACTATCTCTCAACGAATTTTCTTTTCGGGTCAAAAAGAGATTTTCAAGATGTTTAATATTTCTTTTTAAGTTGACGTCCTTTTCCTTTCCAAACTATTGCAACTGTCACAATATCCTCAAGTATGAAACTATATCAAGCCATGGAATGCAGTCATAACCAGAAACTCAACTTTGATATTGTCATTTTGAGTATGCAAACTTGCAGTCGAATTGTTTGGGCTTTTACTAGAATGAGCACTTAATCGGCTTCTTCATCAGAGTCCACAGATTTGCCCTTTCTCCAAATGTGATCCTTCGTATTCTTGGGATGATTTGCACTTCTTTTGCCTCGCAACTCCAGGATTATCATTAGTTGAAATTCCTCCTGCTCTTGTTCTTCTCCCCCTATAAGAAAGCCCTCAATTTTGGCTTTCTTTTCAGGTATGCATAGCCCATAGGTATGGAAGGCCAGGTCTATCAGTCCTTAGGAAACCTTGTCCATATCCTTCCATTCGCATTATTTCCACCACTGAGTTTTCCTGTAATTGCAACCCTCTGTCAGCACACCAATCCGCAACCTTGTTAAACTCTCTTGGTTTATAAGTAACCGATCTCCTATTTTCTTTCAATAATTTTTCCAATTTCTTCTAGTAAATAAACTGCTTCCCATGGTCCTTGTAGCTGAATTCTGATGGTGTTGGCTAAAAGCTTAAGCAGTCCACTTCTACTTCTAACATTTTCAATCGCTCGTGTTTGTACATACTGAGACTCTTACGAAGTGCTTTTATCTCTGCCATATAACTATTGTAGTTGCCATAGTGTGCATGAAAAGCAAAAATCAATTCTCCTTTGTGATTTCTCACTATTCCTCCGGCGGCCTGCCCTATTGTTGACTTGTAGCACCCACCAGTATTCAGCTTGGATATTCCTTTCTTGGGTTTTTACCATCTCATTATTTCCGGGGTGGGAAATAATGCATCTTGCCACCTAATACACCATAGTAGCTAGCTATGTTCTGATCTCCTTTCCAGTTTCTTTTCAATATCAATCCAGCTCTTATAAGCAGTTTATGAGCATTTTCTCTCCAAATTATCCTTTCTGCTATAATGGGAAGGTGTCTATGCTCACACACACGTATATATTCAGTAGAGACATTCAAGGAGCAGCATTGACGTTTGGATGCCAACGATATTTGACATCTTTGTTGCACAATGTTGTGAACCAGGCACCAATTATATATATACACACACATATACACACACACACACACATTCAGTAGAGACATTCAAGGAGCGGCATTGACGTTTGGATGCCAAGGATATTTGACATCTTTGTTGCACAGTGTTGTGAACCAGGCACCAATTGTGCAATAATTTCCAGCAAGAAAAACGAGATCTTAAGTGGGATGGCTATATGCCATATGAACTTAAATGATGATAAGTGAGTCCTCTTGGTTCTGATTTCCTCCTAGCAAGATTTTGAAGAGAACTGCAACCAGTGAAGAACCCAATCCATTGGTCATACCAAAATAAAATTTGGCCTTTTCCCAGCTTCCAAGCTATATTATGTTCCACTTATGCCTAATTCCTAACTATTTCTAATCTTTTCCAGGTGTATGAATTATGAGCAGTTTACTGATACTTCCATGGGTTGCAAGTCTTTACATTATTTAGCTCTCATTACTTGTGCCCATAAACACCCATGCTTTCTAATTCTCCAACATAACTTCCATGTGACCATTTGAGACAAGTCTTCCAACATTCTGAATCCCAACCCACCTTCTGCAATGGTTGCAGGCTTTATTACATCTAGCCCAGTGATATTTTCTAGCAATTCTAGTATCTCCCCAAAGGAATCCATTAAAATTTAATTAAATTCTATTGACAACACATGCAGTTGGATGTAGCACTTGCAAGAGGTGAGAAGGCATAGATGCCAATACACTCTTTAGCAGCATAATTCTCCCTCCTGGGGAAAGAATATTTTGTTCCCACCCTGCTAATCTGTATCTTATCCTCTTATATAATTCCTCGTACATGTGAGTCTTCTCGTGTCCTTAAAACAGAGGCACTCCAAGGTATTTTATAGCTAGATGCTTATAGATTGCAGTCACCATCTGCACCTTCCTAATTGTGCACCTAGTGCCTAAGTATCACTAAACGATTGAATGCTGATTTGGGAACAAATGCATTAAAATGAAACCTTCTTCCGTATCTTTCAAATTAGAGAGAGATGTATAGGCGTGGCATTTCTACTTGTTATTAAATGGATCACAAAATCAACGGCATAATTCTAGGTCCATACAATCATTATGTCGAAGTTGCACCATCTTTTCATTAAAATATTTTTTTGGTTGGGGAGGGGAGAGGGAGATTGTGAAAGGCCATGTTAATTTGTTCTCGAAACACACAGAACAAACCTCTAAAGGAATGGGGAGAAAAATACTATAAGCAGAAAGCATTTGACATCGTTGGGTTTTGTAATTTTGCTTTGTTGTACCCTCTCAGATCAATTTAAATATAGGGGACAACTTAGAATATAAGAGCTAGATCATTCATTAAACACGTCGATTTCCAAAATTTCTTGTTCAGGAAAAAATAAAAAAAAAATAACGAAGAGTAGTACTCATTGAAAGGTAACTCCACAAAATGGAACCTGTACACCTATAAATCAAAGGAAGAAAACTAAACCAACTTACCACTTCTAAATATGCATTAGTTGTATATTTCTGGTAAGATTCGAAGTGCATTAGCCTTCAACCCAGACTCTAACTGACCTAGCATTGTCAAACCCCGAAAAAACAATCATGTTCTCTTTGGGATGGCAAGATACAGAGATGACAGTATCAGTGTGCCTTTCGAGTTTTCCACAAGTACACACAGTGATCCTCAGATCCACTGACATTGTATTTCTCACTTGTCACAGAGAACGTAGGTATTATGCAGTATACTTTGTTCACATGGCCTGTATATATCTTCATGAACTTCCCAGACAAGTAGTTTTCCACAGCTTCTGCAATCAGTTGAAAACAAAAACGAAAAAGAGAAAATACTCAATTAAACGACAAAGGGTAATTCATCCTACGTGATAATCGGTGTCAACATCCTGTCTCTATCTCTAACTCTTACCTGAATTCTTTTCACAGCTTTTCAAATCTTGATCCAGCCTCAGAAAACTAGATATTCCACTCAAGCATGTAGTACAACCATTTATATGAGGTTAGCTTTCCGTTTGGACCATTTCATTTTATGTTGTCCTCAATGATATCACCACAATTAATGATAACAATTCACAAAAGGCAGGCACAAAAGGGGCTAAAATTGGTTAAAGTTGACTTCTCCCAGTGCAATCAATGCACAGCAAAACTAATATTCTCTCTGATTTTTCAGTTGGATTTAGACTTGTAAGCTTCTATACTCCAAAAGCAAATTTTAAGTCTATCTTAAATCCCCAAAAGTTCGAACAAAAATCAAGCCAAACATAGAAGAGTACAATCGAGCGTGGCAACGAGTCTTAACTTCATTTGGTGAAAACTTGGCAAAAGACACCGCAGGAACCTTATCATCAATGAGCTTCTTGACATACTTGCCTCCGTTTCCCAAATCTTACAGGATCCATCGTAACTCCCGGAAACTATCAACAACCCGTCTCAATGAAAATTCACGGATATGACAGGTATCGAATGTTCCTGGGTCATGAGCAATGATTTACTAGGCTTCACATCCCATACCCGAATCGTCACATCAAACGACCCGAAACCATCAAATTGGACTGGGGGGTCAAAATCCACGAAGAAAACGAAGTGGTTTTGCCCCTTGAGAATCTTGACGGACTTAACGGCACGTGCGTCCCAAATACGGAGCGTCGGTCGTCAGAGGCGGAGCAGATATAGGTGTAATCTGAGGACCATGCAAGGTCCGAGATACCTTCGGAATGGCCAACCAAATGGGAGAGATGTGTTACGGCTTCCCGTTTCCGTAGACCTGACTATGAGGATTTTGTCCAGGGAAGCATTCGGGCAGAGGCAAAGAGTTGGCCTTTTTGGAGAACTTCACACACGAGACGGCTCCCTGGTGGTTCTTGAGCTTTTTCTTCAAACGGTACGGAAGCCTTGGGTGGTTGCCGGTGCTGCTTGCATGGCCGGAAAAAGCAATGCATGTTAAGCACTTATAATTGGGTGCATATATATATCAGTCAGCAATTTTTTGAGTTAAAGGCGCGTGTCGTTAATTTATGGATAGATCTCCCGATAAATACTACAATTTTTCTCCAAATAATGCTTTTTTTTATTGCACAATCAATCTCTAATTACATAAATCATTTAATTTTTCTCTTTTTATCAATTTTTGTTGCATTATAATTTCAATGACTTGTAATTTTATCCAAACAAGCCCTATAGGTAGTTAAGAGATTCAATAATCTACTAGCTCATTCGATTGTTTAGAAGTATAGTTTGGTTAATTTGGTCGTATGAATCTATGATAGATTATGGGACTACCAAATGAAATAAGCCTTCAAACATTATTCACGTGCCAATAAATTCTCCTGCTAATTTGTTTCTTCAACTAACTTAAACAAAGCACGAAGTAAAAACAAATCAGAAAAAATGTCATTTCTCCTCCAAAAGAATCTCAAGATACAAGGATCACCAGAGGCAAACACCGTGATTGAAATATCCAGTTCAAATTTCTACAAACAGGTTCAAAGTAAATATTGAAAATACACAATGTTTAACATCAGAAAATGCACATATTACCCTAGCTATCACTTGGAGCAGGCATCAATAGAAGCTTTTCTTCGGATGGCTGTTTCCCCGCAGACGATCTCTCTTCTGCTAATAGTGACATTAAATCACTGCCATTTGCCAGGCTGTTGAACTCGACAGCTTTGGATGGGGCTGTAGGATAACGTCGTTGACAGAATGTCATCAATCTCTTAACAGATTGCAAGTACTTACGAGTCGTCTCATCATTCATGATGTGAGCAACACTGTTTGTGTAGATCTTTTCACGTGCAGAACGTTCATGAATACCAACCATAGTGACACCAATAGGCCAGGGGGCATTTCCAATGGCCAGTTTAATGTAATGATCCATGGCAGCTAGATAGTCCCGCTTCGTACAGCATTCGACGAACAATAGCAATGCTTGCCGAATATCATCAGGAAGAACCTAGGAAACAGACAAAGCACTGTAAAAATCATTTGGCTTGATAGTGATATGCACTCATATGGAACGCATTGAAAAAGAATTTAAAAAATTGGTAACTGTAGCTAGCAAATACCACAAGCAGAGAACTGATCTTCTTCACTCATCAACCACAGAGAGCGAGAAAGAATTAAGTGCACCGGCTATAGGTAAGGAAGCCAAGTCCCAAAGACAGTAAATAGATTCTGGAAAACTAATTTGCAAGATAATCAACCTACTGGGCAACAATTAATGTTTTAACTTGGGAAGAATGATAATTCAAGTTAAGATTTGTTGGTCGATTACAGTTAAATTCTAGCATATTGCCATCACTGGATTTCTTTCTATCGTGTCTTACATCATATCATGCAGCCTCAAAAGAATTTTAAAACAGCAGTCAAGAGTTTCTAGAGGTATAGTACTGTCAACTACATTTATCAAAGCCCAGCATGTCTAATCTCACAGTTAGAGATTCCAAATTTCTAACAAGACAATCAGATCTGTGCATTCTATACCATGCCGCAACCAACACCTGGTATTCCCACACCCCAACCAAGAAAAATATTAATATATTTTCCTTAATAACATGTATCCAATCTCAACTTTACTTAAAATATAAGGGATTGTTCTCTTCGTATTTCAGTTTTTCATTTAGAAATCATTTTGAGTTTTGTGTTTTGAGTGTCCATTTTGAAATTGTTAAAAATGTGTTCTTTTTACCATTTTGAAAAATTATTTTCAAAAACCTAAAATTGGCAAATGTGTTCTCTTTCTTCTTTCTTCTCGTCTCTCTCTCTCTTCTTCCCGTCTCTTTCTTCCCTCTCTCTTCTTCCCCGCCTCACGACACCTCGCAAGGCCTCCGGCGCCGAAGACCGGCCTCTTCTGCTGTTGGGTGTGGCGGCGTTGGTTGGATGCGGTGGTGACTGTGTCGGTGGATTTTCTTTAGCTATTGTGGCGGTGGCGATCGCGACGGCACGGCGCGGGGGCGGGGGCGGGGGTGGCGACGATGGTGTGGTGCATGCGGCGATGGTGGTGGTTTTTGTTAGCTGCATAAATGAACACACCAAAAACGCGTTTTGAAAATTTTGGTTTGGTTTTAATTGAAAACGCCCAAAACGACATTTTTACGTTTTCGGTTTTCTTTATAAATTTTAAACTCGTTTTCAGAAATTCGTTTTTGAAAATAAGTAAGTAAACTTGTTTTCGCTGTTTTGGAAAATTGAAAACATAAAACGGGATGAAAACGACAAAGAGAACAGCCCCTAACTTTTTCAATAATTTTCCTTGACATTTTCCACAATAAGGTACTCCTCTACCTTCTTTTAGTATTATATTATTTGTCCATTTTCACCTTGCTCTTTCCACTTTTCCCTGAAACAGCACTTGATATATAGCAGGCATAACCATGCAGCACAGCAGAATCACTTCTACACTTGCAAAACTTCTTTGGCAGAGTTCATAAATAACACAATCGTCAGACTAAACAAAATTCATCTATAGAATTGTCAATGTTGAGATAATATACAATTCAATGCTACCTGTTCTGTTCCTCAAAAATATACAGAAGGTCATATCATATCACAGCCTATGCTTTAAAGGCAACCAAATACTAGAACACAAAAGACCCTACCTGAAATATTACCTCCAGCTACATCAGGCACATGGGCAATACACATGCACTCTATGGGTCCGCACAAGATTGAGATACATTATGAGGCTAACAATGTCCAAGGTAAAATTGCAATCTTCATCAAATTATCCTTTCCTTAGGGAGCACACTGCTCCATCTCATTGTAATCATAGTTTGAAAATCGTAAATGGGTACTGAGGCCTTTTTTTGTCATGA